CACTAAGTGATGTAAGCATTTGCTTAGAAGCAGAAGAAGGGTCTGACATTTTTTCAAGTAGAAAGAAGAGAGAGAAGCAGAAGTGAAGGATGAAAGAGGTAGTAATTGAAGAGTAAAGGATTAAAAGACACAAAAAGGGGTTTCAAAAAGAAAGCGAAACGGTGCCACGTCTCTATTGATTTTATGCGTCTCTTTGAAAATAAGCGATGGGACTAACAGTCAGAATAATCGATGACTGACACGTGGCTTGATGAACGTCACTTTATCTTAGTTTAAAATTAATGTATGAATGCTAACCTTGACTAGAACCAGGTCCCATAATGCAATTTTATCATCATTCCTCAACTGTTCTAGCCATGTCTTTGCTTTGCTGATCCTTTATGAATGTATACCTGCAATAGGTACAACATCGATCTAACTTAGATAAGATATTATTGACAAGAAGGAAACCTGCACTACAAGTTTAGCCATCAAGGAAATCTAATGATTGAATGGCTTGAAATCAGTTTGAAGTCATCATGCCCAAAGTCAACCTATTACTCTCAAAGTGATCTTCGGTAAGAGCCTTGGTGAAGATGTCTGTGATTTGTTCCTCCGTTAGGCAATATGTAAGCACAATGTTTCCTTTTCAACATTATCTCTCAGAAAATAATGTCTAACATCAATGTGCTTGGTTCTCTTGTGGTGAACAGGATTCTTTCCCATACTGACTGCACTAGTATTGTCATACATAAGAGGTATTGTCTTGATGATTACTCCAAAGTCCTCTAAGTGTTGTTTGATCCATAACAATTGTGAACAACATGCAGCAGCTGCTACATATTCAGCTTCAGCTGTTGAAAGAGCTACTGAATTATATTTCTTCGTTCCCTATTAGATAAGTGAAGATCAAAGGAAATGAGCCATCCCTGAAGTGATCTTCCTATCAACTTGATAACCAGCAAAATCAGCATCTGCAAAACCAACAAGATCAAAAGTGTCACTTGTTGGGTAGAAGAGGACCAGGTTCCCTGTTTTCTTCAAATATCTTATAATCCATTTTGCAGCCTTCAAATGTGAATCACGAGGGCAAGCTTGGAATCTATCACACATTCCAACACTATATACAATGTTAGGTCTGCTAGCAGTCAGATACAACAAGGATCCAATGATTCCCCTATACATGGTTTGATTCACAGGAGAATCAGATTCATCTGCTACAAGCTTGGAGTTTGTACCATTTGGAGTATCAATAGGTCATTTCACCCATCATGCTCATCTCAAACTCCTTTCCCATTAATGATGAAAATTCTTCACACAAATGCTCCGATGTAGCTCCAAAAATAATGTCATCCACATATACCTATATAATAAGCAATTCCTATTCTCTTTTTAATAAGATCAAGGTATTGTCTATTTTCCCTCTTTTGAACCAATTTTTCAACAGGAACTTCGACAGTCTTTCATACCAAGCTCTGGGAGCTTGTTTTAAACTATACAGAGCCTCATTCAACTTGAACACATGATTTGGTAACTCAGCATCCTCAAACCTAGGAGGTTGTTTAACAAACACCTCCTCTTTTAAGTATCCATTTAGGAAGGCACTCTTGACATCCATTTGACATAGCTTGAATCCCATGAATGCCGCAAAGTCTATGAGAATTCTGATAGCCTCCATCCTTGCAACAGGAGCAAAGGTTTCATCATAGTCTATACCTTCCTCCTGATTGTATCCTTGAACAACTAATCTGGATTTGTTTCTAGTAATCACACCATTTTCATCAAGCTTGTTTCTGAAAACCCATCTGGTTCCTATAACAGTTCTGTCCACAGGTCAAGGAACCAGGTACCACACCTTACTTTTTTCAAAGTGATGGAGTTCTTCTTGCATTGAATTAACCCAATCTGCATCACCTAATGCCTCTTTCACATTCTTAGGCTCAAATGATGATATAAACGCTAAGAATGCAACTAGATTTCTTATTTTTAATCTAGTGTGAATTCCAAAGTTCAGAGGTGAAATTAGATTATCAAGTGGATGTGACGAACTGTGTTTCCATCCTGGTCTCAAAGTCAACTGGTTCATCTGACCAGTTTGCTCTTCTTCATCAAGGAATTCTTCATTTTTTGGAGAGTTAGAGATATTCTGACTTGAGTTCAGAATAGTACCAGGTTCCTCTTCACATTTTTTTAACTTCATCAACCTTTTCAGATGAGCTTTGATCAACATTGCCAATCCCCAACTGGTCATTTATATTAGCTTCACTTCTTTCAATTTTTTGAGAATTAAACAGCTCAATTAACTCATCTTCATCATTTAATGCAACACCTTTCAGATTTCCATCTTCATCGAACACAACATAAATACTTTCTTCAATACATTGAGTTCTCTTGTTGAAAACTCTGTACATTTTACTTGATTAAGAATATCCTAGAAACACTCTTTCATCACTTCTAGGATCAAATTTTTGAGATTATCCTTCCCATTGTTCAAAACAAAATATTTGCATCCAAATGCCCTAAGGTAGATCAACATAGGTTTTCTGTTGTTGATTAGTTCATAGAGAGTCTTATTCAGTCTAGACCTTATGAAACATCTGTTAGTAACATGACATGTTGTGTTGATTGTTTCAGCCCAAAAATTTCAAGAAAGATTTGACTCAATAATCATGGTCCTTGCAATATTTACCAAGGTTCTGTTTTTCCTTTCCACTATGCATTTTGTGAGGAGTTCTTGGAGCAGAGAAATTGTGACTAGTGCCATTTTTCATACATAAATGATCAAATTTTGAGTTTTCAAACTCAATTGCATGATCAAACCTAATTCCAGCAATCACTTGATTCAATTTTGTTTGAATCATTTTGAATTACACTATCAATTCTCATGGTGTTTCTGCTTTTGATCTTAAGAACCTTGTCCATGTGAACCTTGAGTAGTCATCAATTATCACTAGAATGTATTTATTTCCACTTCTACTTTGAACCTTCAAAGGTCCATATAAATCCATGTGTAGCAGCTCTAATACTCTCGATGAGGTTACTTGCTTCTTTTGCTTTAAAGGATGATCTGATTTGTTTTCCTTTGACACAGGCTTCACAATTTTTTCTTTCACAGAATTTCAACTTTGGCAGACCTAGGACCAGGTCCTTAGAAATCAGTTTATTCAATAAAGAAGAGCTCACATGCCCTAGACTTCGATGCCACAAATCAGCATTTTCTGTATGAGCACTAAGACATGTCAGATCATCTCCATGAGATGTTTCTAAGTTAGCCACAGACATGTTTTTACTTTTATGAGCAGTAAGAATCACTTTCTTTGTAGTTAGATTAACTACAGTGCACTTCTCAGATGTAAACTTCACTTTATTTCCCTTGTCACAAATTTGAGACACACTCAAAAGACTATACTTCAACCCACTGACATGATACACATTGTCAATGGATTCCCCAAGCAATTTTCCCACTTTACCAACACCTAAAATATACCCTTTCTTTCCATTACCAAAAGAGACACCTCCACCTTAAAGTGTCTTAAGTGAGAGGAAATTTTTTATATCACTAGTCATATGTTTAGAGCATCGACTGTCCATGTACCAAGATTGACTGTTGCTCCTCTCACTCACCTGCAGCAAGAATCACTTATTAGGCTTGGGAACCCATTTCAATTTGAGTTCCCAGAAAGCAGACAAAGGAGTGATCAAAGTGTTTCTAGCCCAATGAGGTAATTTCAGATTCTTTTCAACGAAGGATTTTTTAGCAGAACCAAGTCCTCTCTTTGAAAACCTTTTGGTTGAGGATTGTTTTGTAGGACCAGGTTTCTCTTTTGAAACCCTTTGCTTTTCTGTATACTTTGAAAGTCTCTCATGTGACTTTCTCCAAGTAGTACACTCTTCTTTTGAATGCCTATTTTTACCACAATGAAGACACAACAAATTGTCACACACATATACATATTTGTTGTGAGGAATGAAAGGAGGAGTAATATTCAAACTTCCTAGACCCTTCTTGTTGAAATTACTTTGATTGTTTACATTTGAAAGCAACTTAGAAGATTTAGTCCACTTAAGAGATTTTTCAAGTTCATCTTAAGTTTGACAATATCTCTTTCTAAGTTGTTGCTTTTTTCCAAAGCCAAAACAAGATTAGTCTCGGAGGTTTTTAGTTTTTCTTCAAGCTCAACTTGTTAAACATTAGACTTTTCCTTTGGTTTTTCAGCTTTCTCATTTATCAGATGCAAATTTTTTTAAGTTCTAGTTTTTCAGATTCCGGAGCAGCCATTTGATCTTCAATTTTCAACATTTTCTCACCTATTTTATATCTATTTTCATTTAAACTTAAGCATTCATAATATCTCTTTCAGAATTTAACTCAATCACTGAATCAATCAGAACATTTGTTAATGTTCTTAATTTTTAAGAGAATAGGTATTCAAATCATGTTTCAAATCAAAAAGAGTTACCTTATCCTCTCATCTTCATTCTCTGAATGAGCCATGAAAGCAAACATCTCATTGAATATGGTTTCCTCCTCATGAACCACCACCATTGACACATTATTTGGTTCATCAAGATCTTTTGAGTCACTCAAAGAGTCTCCCCATGCAGCAAGAGCTTTCTTGACCACATAGTCAGCAGTAGCTTTCCGATCATTTTATCGAGTACCAGGTCCCTTCGCTTTTCTTTATCACCTCTTGGATTTTGATATTCTTTGTTTTCGGCTTTGAGCAATGGACACTCTTATGACAAGTATCATTTTGAGTGGCAGTTCGAGGAACATTTGCTCCCTTTCTAATACCTTTGTTTTTCCTCACAATCTTCTGAAACCTCTTGATGAGGTAAGCCATATCATCATCATCACTGGAATCCTCTTCAGATTTGTATTTCAGCATCAAGGACTTATCTTTCATGACTTTCTTCTTTGACTGATCATGACTTCGATTCATCTCATGAGTATTTAGATTTCCAATGAAAGCATCCATTGTTAACACTTCAGGCCCTTTGCTTCAGTAATAGCATCAACCTTACTTTCCCAAAGACTTGGGAAGAATTCGAATCACTTTCCTGACCTGCTTACTCATGCTGATAGGTTCTCCAAGACTTCTCAACTCATTTGTGATTAATGATAGTTTAGTGAACATTTCATGAATAGTTTCACCTTCTCTCATTTTGAAATTTTCATACTGAGAGGTAAGCATATTAATCTTTGACTCTTTTACTTGTTCAGTTCCTTCATGGGCTGTTTTTAAGCAATCCCATATCTCTTTTGCAGATTCACAAGATGAGAAACGATTGAACTCATCAGGTCCTATACCACAAACAAGAAGTTTCTTTGCTTTGTACCCTTTTTCAATCTTCTTCCTATCATCTTCATCATATTTTCGTCTAGGATTTGGAACAAGCCTAGTGTTTTCACCATCTTTCTCTTCAATAATGGGAATGAAGGGTCCATCTAAGACAATGTCTCATAGTTCACAGTCTTCAGCCATAAGGAAGTCATGCATTCTTACTTTCCACCAACTATAAAAATGGCCATTGAAATGAGGGGGTCTAGTTGAAGACTGACTCTCTTCCAGATTAAGTGGAGCAGCCATTTTAGAATAGGAATCACTCTCTTGGTGTTAACCAGATAGAGAGTACCTGCTCTGATACCACTTGTTAGAATTTGTGCGTTCACTATCAGTCAATAGACTAGGTCCCTTGACACACATATAAGAATATAGCAGAAAGTAAATACAGTTTAACAATAGAGGAGTTTAAGTGAAAACCTCCTTGCTCAAGGGAGTAAAACCACAACCTGTCTCACAGAATTTCACAACTTTTTCACTAATCTGCACAAGCAAAAGTAAATCGGTTACACAAATATGAGAAAATGTTTTTAATCTCACCAACAAGCAATAACTCTATTGCTTGATGAGCCTAAGTAGATGTTACTCTACCCACTAAGCTATCACTCTAGACAACTTAGAATTTTCTAAGCAACACAAAGGTTACCCACTAAATTAGTTCAACTAACTATCTTAGAATTTCATATCAGAGACACTGATTCCTTTATAGATTTAGGATCAGTTTAGACTGTACGATCGAAAGAATATATTCTCAAACAACTACACAATGTACGCATGAGTTTCAGTTGTTCTTGAATGATTCTTCTCCTTATTTTCTTAAGCCTTTGCAAGAGTTCTTGAATGTGCTTTTTCAAGTTGCAAAAACTAAAGAGCAATGTGTGGAAAGATGAGATTGTATAGAAAAGTCACTTTCCTCAAACCCCTGCCATTGGTTGGAAAGGTCTGACGTTTCTGACGTAGTTGAGAACTGTGCACCAACTTTCTGTACTTTCTCTAGCTGACAGTCAACGAACGATTCATATTGAGAACCGGGTACCTTCACAAGGTCCCTGAGTTTGTTACATCATCAAAACTACAAATAACAAAAATTCGACCAACGCTCACATCCTCCTCGGTGAAAGTATCATATGGTTCACCATTAAAATCAGACTTTTCCAACTCATCTCCTAAAATGTGTTCCTCATTGTTCTCAACTTCTTCATCATCCTTATCTAAATGTACGTCATTGTTCAAACGATAGTGTGAATCATCATCGACCCATTCATTTTCGTTCATCAAACTATCGTCTGAAGTCATTTCTAAAGATCTATATAACTCTTTCCTAACTTCAGTTACATTCATATTTTTCTAGAGAAATGATCGAGTAAAGAAGAATAGGAAAAAGAATTAGCATGATTGCTTTGCAGTACTAACGCTACCTAAGAATACGAATGTGTTGTATAACATGTCTCTTTTTTATTTCTTTCACAATAACGTCCTACTTTTTTTCTTCTTTCAATTTTTTTTCTTCTTTCAATACGAATATTGTCCCAATGGGACTTTTCATATTCTAAACTTATGAATCTATGTTCTAGTTAAATTGTAATTTTAGGAAATTACAAATACTTAAATACATTTTTTATTTATTTTAGACTAGAAGGTTAGTATAGTCTTTGTATGTTTGGCCAAATTCTTGATTGTTTAGCATCTCTATATATCTATCTATATCTCTCTCATATATATATATATATACACACACACACACACATATATATATATATATATATATATATATATATAGAGAGAGAGAGAGAGAGAGAGAGAGAGAGATTTTACTCCCATCTTTTTCTCTTAATCCCTTTTTTCACCCTCTCTCCATGTTTAAGGATTTTATCATTTTCTCTAAAGTATATCCATTAGAAATCAATTACAACCAGAGGTGGAGCAAGAATTTTATATTAGAAGATTCTAATTTTTTAATTTTTGTAAAAAAGAAATAACGATCTTAACTTTAAGTAGCAATCATCAAATTAACGAACAAATATCAATATTTAATTCTCTAAAAACGAAGAAGGGAAAAAGAAAAGGGAGAGACAAGAGGACACACCGGAGGCTAGATGTTGAACGAGCAATTAGATCAACAATAAAAGTTAGAACTCTAAATTTTGAAGAAAAAATTTGAGATGAACTTTTTTAATATAAGTAGAAATCAATTGTCAGATATTGTAGTTTCATGGTACGATACAAAATTAAAGAAAACTTTTACACATAAAAAATTATATGCGCCTACCGAGAATTGAACACACGCATTGCAGGAGGCGAATGATCTAGCTGGGCACCCAACTACCACTTATCCAAATGCTTTAGTGTTTTTATGGGTTCACATGGAATATATATATACATTGTATTTTATATTTTAATACAAATATAGAATCTATGAAAAAGTCAGTGAATTCGCCGAACCCCCTTCCGCTACAGTAGCTTCGCCCCCAATTACAACAATAACTCTTCACAGTTATTAACTCAAATCACATCATTTTTTTAAAGGATTTCTACCTTTTCTTTTAATCTTGTAGTTGGATGCAAGATATTTTCTTACAAATATTTGTCTTTCCTGTTATATTTCAAGTAGTTAAGTTATCCGTACTTCGCGCGGTGGTGAGCTATATCAATAATATTCTCTAAACATTTGATAATATAAGTGTTCTCAAATGGGTATAGCCGTACGATAAATTATCAAGAATATTTTATTTAATATGAAATGAAATATTTTTTTAATCTTAAAACCAAAAAAAAAATTGATTCTAAGTTTTTATGCATTTTGTTTTATTAATTCTTCATTTTAATTTAATGATAAAAAATATATTATATATAAAGCTAGATAATAAAAATAAGATGTGGCACCTCGCTTTCACCAGTATTATCATTTATCCTTTTTATCAATTTTTTGATTTTTATTTATTTCTAAAATATACTAAAATAAGGGGGAAAATATAATTAAAATAACTTAATTATCTCTCCTTATCATTACCACTACCATTTATTACTCTTTCATCTCTCATCAGTATATTATTATAATTTATTTATTTTCCTTAAAAGTTCTCCCATCTTACCTTTTAGGTTACTATCCTCCACATTTTTCTTTTCAATATTTTTTATCTCAATTTATCTCATATAATTTATTGTCAGAAAAAATTTCTGAAAATTAAAAATATAGTTTTAATTATAAATTTCATCATCTCTTATCACTATTATTTTAATATATTATTTTTCTTAAATTCTCTCATAGTACGTTTTATGTCTATATTTTAAAAAAAACAAACACTTTTCTACAACTTCTTTTATCTCAATAATCTCATTTACTGTTGTCATAAATATTTTTCAAAAACTATCTTTTTAAAAAATTTCATCAAATATTATTAATTGATATTTCCTAAAACCTTCATCTTCTTTCTCTCATATTTCTTTTATTCATAAAAAATTATAAAACAAATAAAGTTAGTGATAAAAAAAAATAAGAAGATGGAAAAAGAAAAAATATTGACAAAAAAATTACAATATAAATATAATATTATGATGGAAAGCATAACGGTTGTTTTCCTATTTATACATATTTAAATTGAGCAATAAATGAAAACACTTATTATTATTTTTAAAATTATAGAGTAATTTAATTTTTATGCAATTAATTTTAAAAACATATAAGAATCTATATTAGACTAAGGATTGATCTAACAATTATAAGGGAAAAGTCAAAATCAAATTCTGTAAAAAGATTGTAATTATTATATAGTTATAATAAGTAATTTTTAGAATTTAAAAAATAAAATAAATTAATAAGTACAAGAAAGGAAAAATAAGTAATTTAAGGAAAAATAAGTAATTTAAGGAAATAATATAAACAACACTAATAATGATATTTAAGGGAAGGAAGTAAAGAAATCAATAGCATTGATGGTGATAAGAATTAAATATGGTCATCATTCATATTTTATAAGATTTTAAGTTTTTTTAAATTAGAAAAAAGGGTAAAAATAAAATAAAATTCGAGGCACTATTTTTCTTTAGAAGAATAATTCAACTTTGAGCAATTATTCTAATACAAATGTTTGAAAGAATGTTTGAAAAATTAATAAAATTAAATTAATATGAGATTTTGTTTATAAAATATATAATTATCAATGTTGGACTAACAATATGATCTAAAAATTTTAAGAAAAATGTTAAAATCATATTCCGTAAAAAAATACTACGATTCTTAAGCAGTTATAATAATTAAATTTTATGAATAAATAAATAAATTTTCACACATTAGAATTAAAAATATACACAAAGACGTTAATACAAGATAAATACGAAAAAAAACTTTAATTAAAGACACAAAAAATAAAACAAAATAAAAGAAGAAAAATGTTAGTAGACCAAAGAAGAAAAAATGATGTCGTTAGTAAATTTTAAGTTAAGCTAAATAATAAAAAAGATAAAGTTTATATATATATATATATGTATATATATATATATGTATGTATAATAATTATGACATAAAAAAATAAGAAAGAGTTAAGTAGAATACTTATTTTCCTCCTAAATTTAATACTAATTTACTAAATAGATTGATTTTTTCTCTAGATAAATCTTCTTATATATTATGAATTTTTGTTCTCAATATTAAAGAAATCAACATTCTTTCAAAAAGGCTGTACTTTGAAGACAATTTTTTGTTACATAATCTTTTTCTTTTCGCCAATATCTATAGAAGGTTCATGAGATATTCTTTTTTTCTTTTTCTTAAGAAAATCACAAGGTCTAGAATTTTGCTGAACATCTAATATCTGTATATTCATCATCATCAATTTTTTTAGAAGTTTTATCATCACCAATATTTTTCGATATTGAGATACTCTCTTTTCCCTTTTCAAAAAATTTGATATCCGTATATTCATCACCACAATATCTTTAGAAGTTTTATCATAACCAATATCTATAGATCATGAGATACTCTCTTTCCCTTTTCAAGAAATTTAATATCTGTATATTCATCACTATTAATATCCTTAAAAGTTTTATCATCACCAATATATTTAGATATTGAGATACTCTCTCTTTTCCTTTTCTTAAAAAAATCAAAAGGCCTAAAAATTTATTGGACGTTTCAATATCAAAATTCGATACCCATATATTCATCATTAGAAAAAGAGAGAAAGTAAAGATTTTCACTATTATTGATTATAATAGTCAATTTTTTACTATAATTTATAGGCTAAATAATTATAAATTGTTATGAAAAATTAAAAGGATTTGATCTTTTCACCTTCCATTTACTTAAATGTGTATTAGTATGATAGAAGTTTTAAAGGAGCATGATGTAATGCACTAAATATTTTTTTTGCAGTTTTTTTTTAAAAAAATTTACAAATAAAAATAAAATATCAAAAAAATGAAATAAAACATAAATAGAAATGTTGGCCATAGAGAGGTACCACATCAGATGTTTTATATCCAGCTTTATATATATAGATAGATAGATAGATAGATAAATAGATAGATAGATAGATAGATAAGAGTAGTATGTATAAAGTGATGAAGATTGCCAAAACAGTGTGAAACCCTTCTAGGAAATGGGTGAACTGAAAAATGACGATGAGTTTGTAAATCATCAATCATAAGTATTAATGGATAATAATTTTGATTTTCAAGATTTTTTTACCTACAACATCGATTTCCACGTGTTAATTAACTCCTCAGTATTCAAATTGAATAAGTATTTAATTCTTATTAAATGTCAAACATGAATTTGTATACATTGAGGTAGACTTGTGTAACAATCTAATGTGTACGTCTTCAAACTAAATGTATACGCAATTGATATTATGTATATGAATGTAGTTGAAAGTATGCATACAAACTTAATTTAATTTATCAAATTATTTTCGAAAGGTAATATATCTATACACATGAATAGTGCAAATTATACTTGTGTATACTAATAATGTATAATGTATACAACCAAAAAAAAGTAATGTATATATTATAGCGGCAACGTGTATACTTGATTAAATGTATACTTAATCGCATGTACATATTTAATTGAATACATATTTATTTTTAGTAGATATCAACATTCACCACATACTAAATGTATATATAAACATATCTTGGCCGCCTAATACCAAGTATATATTATGCAAGTGGATACACAAACAAAATATGAAAATAAATTGTGTGTATATATATTATAATGCAAACATATATTTGTGGATACAGAAACAAAATCTCCTTTGAAAGAAGAAAAGTCATAATTAAGTACTTTCTCTAATTTAAGGTGAGGGATAATTCTAAATAAACATTTGCTAGTTTTAAGAAAAAAACGATTGGAAGTTAGAAGAGAGATGGTAGAAAGTATTTTTTATATTTTAAAGAAAAATAATTTGAAGCGAGATGGGTGTGAATAGGAATTTCCCTCTTATTTTTTGTGCAAAATACACGACTATTAAATATTAATTCCTTTTAGGTTTTTATTTGCTAAATATTTATTTGGCTAAAAATATGTCAATTTAATCTAAGAATTGAATATATGTGCCAATTATTTCTTAAACCTGTCCCAATAAGTCCACCTCCAAATTAATCTTACAATGCGATTCAAATTTAATAGAAACTCCAATTTGATCGTCTTATTACTACATAAGGATTACTGCAACTAAGCAAATAACCTTAGTAAAATCAAAACTCCCTACAAGATAGGGCACTTACAATAGCCACACATTTGAATAAAGGGCCACCCCTTCTTGTTGTTGTTGTTGTTTTTGTCAGAAGACTTTCAGATTCCCCTTTTTAGTTGTCAAATGTCTCTTAGTGGCTGAATAGAAATGTCTTTTTGTGCCATCCAAATTGTATTTTGTCCATCTTCTAATGGACCACACCACCCCACCATATCTAAAGATATTTTTCTCTCAAATCCTCGAATGAACGATCCTTCTTCTTTCACTATACTTTCTTGTAAAGTAGATATTTTTCCCCCTCAAACAAATGTAGTTCTCGACAAAAAAAAAAAAAGGGGGGGGGGGGGTTAAAAATCAATTGCTTCTAACACACTCTAAAAGGTTATCATACTGTATCAATGTTTTATGTATAGAGAATACAATATTTGTCTTTTAGAATTCATCTAGCACAAACCAATAATTAAATCAATGATTCGATTATAGAATGTTAAAAACATAAATTTTAGAAAATCATTGTTATCTTTTGGCCATTGAAAGGGAACCATGCATGGTTGACGGGCATCCCATCTCCAACTGAGACCACTCAACCGCTTTCATCTACTTGAAAATTTGCGTAAAATTAATTCAACTTTTAAACAAGACTTGTAATTAGTTCTCTTCTTTTTTGCCCCAACAACAAAGCAACTTATGGATGGGCATTTTTGGGGACTAAACCCGCTTTCCATTACTCAGTGTGGCAGCTCCTTGCACATATATAATTAAGAGAGTCATTGAAAATTGACTAAAACATCATAAGCAAGGACTAACAGAGCTAATGATAGAGTCAAAAGAACACTTTTAAAATTAGACTTGATATTAACACCAATTTGTCAGTCGCTTTGGATCTGCCACTCAATGGACTACGTACTTTATAATGTATACATAAAATAAAACAGTGGACTATATCAAGCGAATTCCTTCTTTTAAATTTTGAGACAAATAAAAATATTAGTCAAAATTTAAAACATTAATATAATTTTCACCCAAATACTTAATTTCCAAAAGTAATTGGGATATTTTTGTTTAGCTATTGGAATAATATCCAACAAAATCTCAAAAAAAGAGATCTCTTGTATTCTTGTTTGCCAAAAAAAACATATCGTAAACTCACATGCAATTCACAGCCCAAAATATGTCGTTTCCTTCGTACCCTAAAATCATGCACGTGAAACCCCTCTGCATGCCTTATCTCTAACAACCAATCAGAATAAAGCAAAAATAACATCCATGCAAACTCAACCCCTATAAAAACCCTATCAAGATAACACACAATGCAACTCCTCATCAACAACAACCCCCAAAATTATTAATTTTTTTTTAAAAAAAATGTATTTTCAAGCCTTGTTCCTCTTCTCTCTTGTCATCATCTCCTCCTCTCAAGCCGCGGTCCTCGATTTCTGTGTTGGTGACTTGTCCTTACCCGATGGTCCCGGTGGCTATGCTTGCAAGAAACCATCAAAAGTAACTGCTGATGACTTTGTGTTCTCAGGGTTAGCTGCCACAGGAAAGATAATCCCTCTCATTAAAGCGGCGGTGACTCCTGCTTTTGCTCCTCAATTTCCAGGTGTCAATGGGCTTGGAATCTCAATGGCTAGGCTTGATTTAGCTATAAGTGGTGTTATCCCAATGCACACACACCCCGGAGCATCGGAGGTGCTTTATGTTGTCCAAGGAGAAATATGCGCGGGATTTATTTCTTCCTCGGACAACAAAGTGTTTTTTAAAACCCTAAAACAAGGAGATATTATGGTATTTCCACAAGGGTTACTGCATTTTCAGATTAATTCAGGGAAAACTTCAGCTTTGGCTATTATTTCTTTCAGTAGCCCAACACCAGGGCTTCAAATTACTGATTTTGCTTTGTTTGCTAATGATTTGCCTACTGAACTTGTCGCAGCCACCACATTCCTTGATGCTGCTTTAATCAAGAAGTTGAAGGGTGTTCTTGGAGGAACCAACTAATTAATTAATTATCTTGTAATTTGCTTTGTTAATTCGAATAATTGTGTCAACAAATTATCCATTATTATTTCCTTAGGTTTATTTTATTTTTGAAAATTTCATGTATTTGTTGTCTTGTTATGGAGTGTTAATTATTTTCAGAGTTGAATCTGGCCTTTGGATTCTACTTCTTTTTGTCATTTGTATTGCAAGGTAAAAAATTCAGTTAATGTAATTTCACTTTTTTAGCTAGTGGCAAAGTAAGTGCATGTAAAATCACTTTGTATTTTTTTTTTATGACATAGGGAAACCCACAGCTTCTATCCTCTGCGTGCACAAAGGGTAAAAATCTCTACTCCTATGCAATAGCTAATCCATACTAGGCAAGTCTGGTGCAACGAGTTCAACCCAAAAGGCAAACCTCTTGCTTTTGCTGGCAAGGGCTTTCAAACTTGAGAACTCCAACATATAAGTCTGAAGCTCAAACCACTGAGTCATCGTGAAAGATTAAATCACTAGTATGATAAGCATTAAGCGGGGTAGATGATAAAAATGGATCATTGATATACTTTTCGAGAGTCAAATAAAAATTAAATTTTATACTTTTCGAGAGTCAAATAAATATTTAAATTTTTAAGTTTTGTAAAATTGAAAAAGGTAATATAAATTGAAACAGTGGAGCTTTGCCGGCAACTAATTAACCCACTATATTACATTATAGCAATTGCACGTAATAGTGTTAATTTTACTTTTTAAAACATAAAAACTTTGTAGGTAGAGAATCACGTATATAACTTCAAATTTTTTTTAGTTTGTACTTTTAAAAACGTTAAAACCCAATAGTGGCTGTCGGAGTTTTGAGTTCGTACAAAACTACGTCATATGATAATTATTAGTATAAATTAAGAACAACAGAAATACTTTAGCAAAAAACATGTACTGTTGTCAAGTGGTAGAAACAATGGGTTCGATTATCAAGTTGCTAGTTTTGAAAATATTTTAAATACCGACAGATGTCTCTCTATTTTAATTAAAAAAAATTAAAGTAACTTGATCGATGTTTTTTTAATATCACAAAATTAAAAAATATTTTGATACATTTTAGATATCTTTGATTTAAGATTATAAAATTTAATTTTTTTTAATTTTTTAAAAATCTTTTAATTTAAGATCACAAGCTTTAAATGGTACATAAAAATATGGGGTTGAAGGACTAAAAGTGAGCAATGTTGATGGAGTGCCAAATTGAAAATTGGGGGCAAGTTATTCGACCAAACGATAAAAAATCTTTAATATTGCGGTGTTAAGTATGTCATTTAAATTAATAAATCTTCTAAACATTAAATCTATAAAACATTCCACCTGCATGAGTTAACTTATATATTTTCAAGAGTTTCGCAATTGCACATAAAACTTCTCAAGGAAACATTAATCTTCATTACTAAGACACAAAAAAAATAGAAGATAGATGACGAATATATTGGGCTAAGTCATTTGAAAGTAACTTACAGAGGTTTTGACCAAATTAAGCCATTATATAAAATATTTTATTAAAATAATATTTTTTAAATTTTTTTACAAAATTAGTAGAAACGTATTCCACAGTAATGTTTTAGGGTAATATTTTATTTTTTAAAAGCTGACAGCGTTAGATTAATATATGTTACTCACAGTGACGTTTTACTCCTAAAACGTTACTCACAGTAATGTTTTATTCCTAAAACGTTACTCACAGTAACGTTTTACTCCTAAAGCGTTGCTCATAGTAATGTTTTACTCCTAAAATGTTACTTACAGTAACAAATATCAACCTAACACTATTAGTTTTTAAAAAAAGAAATATACCCTAAAACCTTACTGTGAAATACGTTTATACTAGTTTTGTAAAATTTTAGAAAAATATATTATTTTGATAAGTTGTTTTATATAATGGTATAGTTTGATCAAAAATTGTTTACTACTGGGTCAAATAATACTATTATTTTAAAAAGAAAAATTAAACAATTATATATATAAATGAAGTTATATATGCAATTTTTTAAAATCAAGTTCCAGTAGAAGATTTCACTTCCATACTTAACAAATTAAAGGTAAAAGGTAATTTGCGAAGCTATCTAAAACATTATCTTAATTAATGGATGTGTGGCAGAAAATAGTTTATGGCTCTAGCATATACAACTCGTTTGTTTCTTGCGGAAACTAGGATATTCTCTTTCTTATTATTAGCTAAGCTAGTAGTTAGTCTCTTTTTTTTCCGCTTGGTAATCGGTGTTCAGAGCTTATATTAAAGTTAAACTTTCAATCGCACACGATAGAAGCTATTTCGGGTGACACTTCCAATAAAATTTTCTTTATATTCAGAATTCAAATCTGAGATCTCTAATTATGAATGGAATAATCCCATCACTACACCACTACTCATTTTGATAGTAATTAATTTTGATCCGATCCGGCTCAATAAAGAGTGACCCAAACCGGATTTGGTGCCATGTCTGGTCAACTTAAGGGGCCTGGCATGGTTTTAGTGTTGGGCTTGGGAGGGGAAAATGATGGTCAGCTGAGCTTATCTGCTAATTAATGACCAAGTTTTTTTTTTACATAAACTTATGAAAAGACATTTTCAATAGTAACTATTTTTGGCATAAATTATAGATGGAAAGATCTAAAATTTAAAATCTTATACCAATTTGTGAAGAATCAAATATTAGATGATTAGCATACGAAAATGAACGTCTTTATTTGATAATTTTGTATATAAAAAATTCAGAAAGAAATTCCAAACATAAATTGATAACATTACAGATTAAAAAGTAAAAACCTAAAACAAAAATGTTTTTTCTAATTTCATAAACTTAAGAAACTAGAAACTCCATTAAAGTTAATGATACGATCCAAAAATATATGTGATGACACTTAATTATTTCCATCAAGACAAGTCATCAACATCAACCCAACGGAATGAAAAAAAATGCGAAAAGTAAAACAAGATTAACATAAAAGCAGAAAACTTATTTATTCTAATATAACCTTAAAATCTGTACTTGGGACCTACACAAGTGCAGAAGCAAGGAGTGAGTATTACGGTACTCAACAAGCAACCGGATAAACAAGACAAAACTAGCTAGAAAACAAGTGCTTCATTCATTCCAATTGAACCTCCTCAAACTAGATAGGAATCAGCTCAACCTAACAGTTTCACATTATACAGTTCTCGAGGCTTAACAATCAAAATCCAATAGTCACAGTTCAAGAACCAACACGTATCAAGTATTACAATTACAAGTGTCAAATAGATCAATCACAATTATCAAGTAAATCAATCACAAGCATCAAACAGATCAATCTCAAGTGTCAAAATACAACAAATCACAATAGTCAAACTCTCACCAGAATCATTACCCTTCAACTTATATCATATGATCTCTTGTTGGAATTATTTTCCTTCAACATAATATCACTAGTTGTAGACATTTTTCTTCAGCTTTATGTCACATCACTAGCTGGAATCATTTCACTACGACATAATATCACTAGTTTTAACTATTTTCCTTCGGCTTTATGTCACACCACTAGTCAGGATCATTTTTCTAAATATCTTATCACTTGTCGGAATCATGTTTCTTTGACATATTCATCATATGTCTCATCACTCCAACAATCAATGCAAGTAAGAAATTTCACAACATAAGGAAGAGACAGCAATTCATGCGATTCAAATCCACAATAATCTCAACAAATAATTTCATCAATCAACATAACAAGGTTTGCAACAAGGCAATTCACAAAGCATTATAATCAACACGTTGGCTTTTCCATTAATCTCCTTTTTATTAATTAAGGTTAATCAAGTAGAATAATGAACTAATTACCTCATTTTCATTACTCCCCCAACACATACAATGAAGGGAAATACAAGATTCTACTAATTTTATAAGATTTAGGAGATCACTTGTCTCAATTCAATAAAAAAAGATAATCCAAAGACTTAAATCCTCCCCTTACGAACAATCTTCAAAGTCACACGATCTAATTCAATCAAGTAATCACAAAGATTTCAAAAATAACAATATCCAATTCATACACTTTGGAAAATGAATCAATCAACTCAAGAACTCAATTCTGAAAATGAGGTTTGAACCTAAAAATCTTTACTTGACGATTTACCAAGGTACTTCGAACTCATCAGTGAAAACCATTGTGAAAAAAGAGATAAAATCAATTCACAATCACCATTTTAGTTTAGAGATCTGTTAGGACCGAAAATAAGCAGGTGTAAACGACAATCAACAGTAACCAATGCTTTGATACCACTTTGTTGGGAAAGACAAGGCACTAACAAAGAATGTCTGACAGGATAACAGCGGAAGAATACTCAAGTCTATACTTTCCCTTCTCGATTTGAACCAAGAGAAGACAAACAACCACAAGCAATATGATAGTAAGGCAGCAAGTAATTCAACTAAACAAATATAACAAGGCAATAATAAACCAATCACACAAGACACCAAGATTTACGTGGAAAACTCTTCGATGTGAAGAATAAAAAACCACGGGACCAAATACTCCACTATAATCATCAAGAGTTACAATATTGTTCTCCAAAATTGGCCCAAAACAAGTGCCAAGCAATGAGCAACAACAAAATAAGATTGCACCAAATCTAGAGAATTAAAGGAGCAAAATCACCAATTTCGCAGCTACTGTTCACGATAGCAAAACTGAAGCTGCAGGCCACCAAATCCAACTCTGTCAGTTCCTAATCAAATATTGAGATGAAGATAATATGCTGTCCAAAAATCAGCTCAATCGGACAAGAAACGAAGCGGGAATCGCAATTTGAAGTTGGTTGTTAGGGCTGAATTTTGACTGCGAAAACTGATCTCTTTCTCTCTTTTTGGCCGCTGAAAAAACTCTCTGTGTATATGAAAATAAGACCTAAATAGGCTTATATTTGTCTCATAAGAATGGGCCTATGGGCAAAAAATGGGTTGGTCCAAATTGGGCTTTTATTTATCCACATAGGAAGGGAAAATGACCCATAACCAAACAATTCTCCCCCTCAAGACTATGTGGAGGAGACCGCCATCCCGGCGACCATGCAACAATCTTCAAACTTCCCTCTTGGCAAAGATTTAGTCATCATATCGGAACCATTGCCATTTGTATGAATCTTTTCAAGCTCAAGCAACTTAGAATCCAACACATCTCGAATTCAATGGTATCTCACATCAATGTGTTTAGACCGACCATGG